AAAATGGCATCACTTGGTGTAGGTCCAGGACCCTCTGGGATTTTACGTACTGGGCTTAATTAATTTTCTTAAGTGCAAATTAGTAGGGCCATGTGGCAAATGCATGTGCCAACACATGGCATGCCTTCTCTCTCACTCGGTCAGTTGTTTTCTAGTTTTTATTTTCTTTGCATGATGTTTAGTGAGTTAGACATGGCACAATGAGTGTCCATAGGATCTGCTTGAGTTTGACATGTATACGAGTGTTTTTGGTCCCCTAAAGAATAATGAGGAGCATTGTCGGATTCATGAATTTTTCATCAGAGGACAAGAATTTATAGAGTCGGTAAAGTCAGATTCATGAATTTTTCTTCAGGGGACAAGAATTTATAGAGTCGGTAAAGTCTTTGCCTAATGCAGTCCAAGTCTCAGCCACTCCTTTACCCTACCTTAGTCTTCTTTGAGTCATTTTATCAAATAGTTTGCCTCCATTCAAAAGAAAATATGATGATATCTTGGCACTTTCATAGGAAATTGAGTAGGGACTAGTACCTTCATTGGCACCTTACTAGATTCGCCACTAATGATGAGGCCCAACAAATTATGAAAGGGAGATAGGAGAGAAAATTGAAGTGTTGAGATCTCGGAAAATTTTCTTTTGCATTCTAAATTTGATCAATCAAGTTGTCTTTTAAATGTACATGGCTCAAATTGATAATCAACAACATAACATAACATAGCATGTTAGATTACAATGTTTCATGAAGTTTTTACTTCTCACTTCGATAGCAAGATATGAATCATACTAGATTACACAATTCATATTGATTTAACTTAATTACACCAATGAACTAATTATAACTATTTTCTTAAAAGCTCTCAGGAAAAAAAAAAAAAAGCTCTCAGAAAGGCGGACCTACAATCCACTACTATCAACATCAATATTGTCTCTAACTTAACCACTTGCATAGTCCGGTAGGTGTGTGATTTTATAAAACATTTATGTACATATATAACCTACTACACCAACCTCTACATTGTTCCTTTCATCATATCGTCCAGGCCCAACCAAAGAAACAAAGCACAAGCTTTTCAAATATGGTAGTTGTAATTAGACTGTCTTATATTTTTCAAATTGTATACAACAAGGTGCATGCATATACAGCAGCATTTATGCAAAAGAAGGAAACTGATGATGCAAACATACTCTATTTTTCTCCCTCTCCTTCTTTGGATATATACAATGTATCAGCCAAATTGGCCCCATTCCTCATGTTGTTATATACTTTAGTCTATATAATATGCAGAATGACAATGCCCAAGCTGCCTTGCTCATAAATATTTTGTTGCTTTAATTTCTTTTTGCTCGCTCTCATAATTTTGTCACATGCATGTTTCAACTACCTTTGTTTATCATGCTTACAAACTCCTCCTAACCATTCACTTAGATCCTATTAATTAGTAATTAACTGGGGATCATCATCTTCGAATCCAATAATTGAGACGCCCATCAACTATAAAGATGCTTAATTAATTAATTAGTTTAAACCCATCATCAAGCCAGAGGAATAATTATCAGGTACATTACCTGCAGATGCCTCTGCATATGCCACTTGGTATATAGTTATTTCAGTTGCAGAACTCAACTAACCATAATTACAATGGGCAGAGAGTTTCAAACCAAAATATATAAATAAATAAATAAAAATTAGTATTTGAAGATCATTTAAAAGAAATCTTTGAAATAAAAGAGAAAACCAATTTGCCATTGAATGATATTAAACAAGTACTGCTGCAGGCAAAGAAAAAAGTATATACTCTCTGAAAAATGCTGCTCTGCATGTGAAACAAGCACTAATATAACTTGGTATATATCATTTTAGAGATTGGGTGGAAATGGTGTGGTTCCTCTCCATCTTTGTCTGCTAGGGTTTTTGCCTCATGTGTTTTGTGTTTCTTGTTTGTCTTTTTGGGTTTTTGAATTGGGCTGGCCTTCTGGGTTTGGGCCAGCCATTTTAAGTTTTTTTCTATATATGAATGAAATTATGCATACAAATTGTTGAGGAACACAAGTATAATGTGGCATTGTGGAAAAGAGCATGTGAGCTGGTTGCCTAACCATTGGCCATCAGGCCTGTTTGGTTTGCGGAAAAGGTTTGATGGGAAATAATTTTCCACGGGAATTGAAAGATTCTTTTCATATATTTGGTAATTTTGGGAAAGTAACTAGGAAATACCACTTTATTTCCTTTCCTATGTTTAGTTTGCATAAGAATGTAAAACAAAGTTTGTTTAATTTTTCAATTATAATTTATACCCATATAAAATTAAATTAAAAAAATGCCTTTAATGCTATATTGTAATTTTAAATTATTAATGGGGACAAAATGATCATGAAAAATGTGCATTTAATGATGTCCCATTTTCCCCAAAATTTTCCATTGGAAAGGAAAATGAAACCTAAGGGCGAGGCCAGGAACCAAATGCAACCTTGAGGGCAATGTCTTGTTCAATGACTATCTAAGCTATTGAAAAAAATAATAATTTTGCCATTGAATAAACATTCAACACGTCCATCCATTATTTTCTCTCTTGATTTGCAAGGCATATGAAACATTGATTTTTTTAGAGTAAGTAATAATTGTATTCATAACTTAGGCACTAAGACCATCAGCCACAAAGGCATAAACTACCTAAAATGGTTAATACAAATATGGAAACATAGTAAACACACAACGTTATTCCAGATACATAGAAATACACCACAATGTATATCTCCACTAACAGTGGCATAAAACCAAACAAATTTTAGCATGAAAGCAGCAGACATGAACAAATGAGACATGGACTGCAAGCTTAAAACTGCCAATACAAATACAACTTTTAAACTCTCACAAATAAAAATACAAGTGGAGACTCAACTACAAACAGAACACCCAACTCACAAAGAGTTGGTGTAATTATTAAAACCCAAAAAACTACAAAACCAACTGAGATGACAGAAAGTAGAGTCATCGTTGTAGCCATCACAAAAACAGGAACACCACCGTCGAAGCCCAAGAGTGGGGGAAAACCACAGTCATGCATAAACCTACAACAACAACAAAAACACAAAACCCACATATCTGCGAAAAGAACCCAAACAACACCAAGATAAAGCTGCAAACAAAGCGGCAACACAAGGTAGAAGGATTTAAAGCGATCTCGGGCAACCAAAAACTAGAGCATAAAGCACAACCAAACTCTCAACTGAAATCACCATAAGCTCAAAAAAGAAAAAGAAAAAATCAAATGCATAGGTAAATGCTCTAATCACTGAGCTACATTCCCCTTGCGATTGTCAATATATCTGAATTAATAGGTTATTTCTTCACCCTTGACCTTTAATTTCTTTTGTGAGTTGGAGAAGATAAATAATAAGGACGTAACCTTTTGACTCCACCAAATTTAATCCCCAATTTATTTACCTTATGTGTATAATATAGCTCAAACGACAATAAGAAGGAAGTATGTATGAAGCCAACTAAATGTATAAGAAAACCCACCAATCAATACCTACAAAAAAAGAAAAAGAAAAAAGAAGAAGTCATTTTTGGTCTCTATAGTTTGACACTTCAACCACTTTTGACCCTGTAGTTTCAATTACGTCAATTTTACCCTTGTAATTTTGTATTTGTAGCAATTCAAGGACAAGTCAGTATTCCTGTCAATTTCTTTGACGGTGCAATGAGCAATTTCGTCAATCCAAAACCCTTAAGCATAAAAGCTCATATGAAACTCTCACCATTTCATATTAGGGCATGAAATTGGCCATTTGGGCTTATGGTTCTTCAAAAATTGGGATTAGTGGTTGAATTTCGAACCCTAATATGAATTGAAGAGAGGTTCATATTGATGACTGTACATGTCTAGTCAACATATTAGCTGTAGCTGTAGATCACATGTATATCTTGTGGTCATTTAGGAGTTGTTAAGTAATTGTATAAAGCTCTTGTGTGTATGGTAATTGTTCATTAAGCAAATACAAACAGTAAAGATCTCTTAGAAATCCCTGTGTTCTCTCTCTAGCTTTCTTCCTTCTTATCTTTCTCTGCAAATTTCATTTTCCTTATCACATATGAGCGTCTACGCTCAAGGATTTTAAGTTGATGAAATTGCCCATTGCACAGTCAAAGAAATAAACAAGAATACTAAATTGTCCTTAAATTGCAACAAATACGAAATTACAATGGCAAAATTGACAGAATTGAAACTATAGGGTCAAAAGTTATTGAAGTGCCAAACTATAGGGAATAAAAGTGACTTTTGATCAGACCTACAAATAAACATGTTTTTAATTTAAACATTCAATCTGCCTCATAAAAGTTATACAAATTTATAAATAAACCCAATTTTAGACATGTATTTATAAAAAAACCCAAGTACTATTTAAACATAGAAACACACCCAAAATCAACCCCAAAGTCAACTTTTTGGGTGTGTTTATAAATGGGTTTTGAGTGTGTGTAATGATGGATTTTGGGTGTGTTTATATGTTTAAATAGTGCTTGAGTTTTTTTATAATTTCAATCCCCATTTTGGGTGTTTTAGTGAAACTCCCTAAAAGTTATGGGTGGGAGTGTTCTTAATTTTGGTTCGATTATACCTCAAACAGCAACTAAATCAATTTGAACATCCCATTTTGTTTTCGTTAGTTTGGGCCTCAAACTAATAATCTAGTGAATTAGACCAAGCTATATCTATTTGATATTCTCTTATATATATGAAAGGGAATTTTTTTATAAATATTGATTAAAAAAATTTCATACTAAATTAAATTGAATTGTGGAACGTATTAAATGAGAAGGATAAGCTCAATAGCTAGAGAAGGTAAACAACCGATGATGCTGTTATTGTAAAACGCTGACTTCCCATTGGCCCGAGCACGTCTCAAATGACCAAGTTACCCAAACTGACTTTGACAAATTAAGAAAAGCAGAGTCCAAACACCTTCCAATCCCACCCGCCCAGGTGTCAATCACCCAATTCACTTCATTGAGCGTTGGCGCGCAACCAAGTCTCTGCCTCTCCTCTGCTCTGTGGGGTTTGCTATTAAATTGAAATGAAGTTTCAAAAACCAAAAGGACTAAGACAAATAAACCCCCAGAGTAAATGTTTACCAATTTTAGGAGGTTTTGGTGGCATTGGAGATGGTGAAGAAGGACAGGAATGCGAAAAAAAGCAAGAGAGGGGCAGCTTTTTTGGGTGCTGTGGTGGTGGTGTTGCTAGCCACAGCACTCACCTCCACAAGAACTGCCTCTAAACTCAACCTCTCTCTCTTTTTCAAGAACCCCAATTCCTGCCGCTGTTCTCAGGTACTGATCAAGCCCAATTCTCTCTCTTCTGTTAAAATGCATGTGGTTGAATTTTGTGTTGTTTGTTTGTACATCAGATTAGATTGTTTCCATTCAAAGTTTGTTCTTCATTTGATGCTTGTTTAGAAGTTTATAATAATAATCTTTTCTTCTTTTTTTTTTGGGTTTATTTGTTTATTTTTATGAGTATAGGATTCAAAAGGGTACACAGGCATTGTGGAGGATTGCTGTTGTGATTATGAAACAGTGGACAGTGTTAATGCAGAAGTGTTGTATACTCTGCTACAAGAGATTGTTAAAACTCTATTTTTCAGATATTTCAAGGTCTCTTCTGTTGTGCCCTCTTATTTATTTTATGCTACTGTATATTTCTTTTTGGCTGTTGGTAATTTTAAATTTTCAATCCAAGCAAGCATTCAAGGGATTAGCCTTATCTTGTGAGCAGTCACATGAATTCTTTACTTTGAACACATTCTTAGATGGCTATAGTGATTTAGGGAGGATGTTGTACTTTTGTTTTTACCTTTTGGGGGCTAATTTACTTGGTTCAAATGATAGGCCAAGCTGTGGTGTGACTGCCCCTTTTGGACAGAAGATGGTATGTGCCTCTTGCGTGACTGCAGCATCTGTGAATGCCCAGAAAATGAATTTCCAGAACCTTTTAAGAGTCCCTTGCTCCAGGGCCTTGCACCTGACAGTTTTGTGTGTCAAGAGGGAAAGCAGCAGGGGACTGTTGACCGGACGCTAGACAGTAGAGCTTTCAGAGGCTGGGTTGAGACAGATAATCCTTGGACAAATGATGATGAGACGGATAATGGTAATTTACAATATATGTCATGGACTGTGTGTTGCATAGAATTCTCTGTACTCGAGTTCTTAAGCTATTGTCTGTCGGAAGCTGTTGTCTTTTGGCATTTCAATTAGAAAGCATTTAGATATGGTTTAGTTGTGAAGTGGTACATTTAAATTCACAAACTTGTTTTTTCATTGCTTGTACCCCGCTATTTGGTTGAATGTCAGGTTCATGACTGATGATATAGTAAATGGTTCCTGAATGTAAATACTACCTCAGTTTTTATGTTTATTATTTGTTATTTTCATGTCTTTCACCTGCTGTATTCTTGTACTAAAAGGTTTGTTCTTTTTAATAATATTTTGTAACGATTGACTTGACTTTCAATCTGAAGGTGAGATGACATATGTGAACCTTCTTTTGAACCCTGAACGTTACACTGGCTATGCTGGTCCATCACCGAGAAGGATATGGGATGCTGTGTATTCTGAAAATTGCCCGAAATGTGAGTTCAACCTTTTCTTATATCTTTGTGGACAATTTGACTGCTTATAACATTTTATGTTTAAAATGTTTTATATCTTACTTTCATATTGAGGTTATCTATCGCCAGTCCAACTCCTGCAATAGGGGGGTAATGTGACACTTAAATCTGAGGCTAGGTTGCATATCAATATGTTTTACTCAATGTTTTTTGTTTGTTATTCTGCAGATTCATCTCAGGACATTTGCCAGGAGAAAAAAGTATTATACAAATTAATATCTGGTCTTCACTCCTCAATTTCGATCCACATAGCTGCTGATTATCTTCTTGATAAGACTACTAATCTGGTTCTCCTTCTGCCTCATATCATGTGACTATTTTTCTTTCCCCTGAGCACTCTAATTTCTTTTCTAAATTATGCAGTCGAGTAGTTACCAATGAAAGTAGAAATTTTAAAAGCTGTCTGCCATACTAGTGTTGATTATCTGTAATCTGCGCGCATTGGTCATCCATTAGTGGGTTGGATAATAACACTTCTTGAAATTTGAAAAAAAAACCTTTTTATTCTTGTGTGAGTAAAGATGCGCTTTAGTACGTTTGGTGCAAGTTTTTGTTAACCCTTGCGCTTAGCAGTGGACTGCAGTCCAATGCAAGAGTATCATTAGTGAGAAATTGATGACCAAGTCCTGATGTGGGCCTCAGGAAAGTTCTTTTTAACTCTTTAAAGATGATTTGACCAAAGATTTCATCCAAATTAAAGTGATGAAATAAAGTAGTACTCAGTAAGTGTATGTTAGCTACCGTCTTGTTTGGTACTTGATTTTTTCAATCCCAATTGGGTGGACTTTATTGGAACCTAACCTACACTTTGGGGTAAGTGCATTCCATGTTTTCCCTTAACTACTGAGCAAATGAGCAGACCCTCAACTTTTTTTTCTTCTTCTCTCATGTATGTTTTATATCCACAAAGATCAGAGAATTAAAATTTATTCATCAAGAGTGGTGAGCATATATTGAATGATCTGGAATTGATAATTGGATGGGTCATGCATGTAATTTGTGAACTAGAAGAACTACCCTGTCTTTACTTACGATGCGCAGCATTTGACCTTCCTGCATACAAATTTCAGTGGGGTCAAAATCTGGAGCTGATGCATGATCGCGTTTTGAAATATCCTGATCGTGTCCAAAATTTGTACTTCACATTCCTCTTTGTTCTCCGTGCAGTGACTAAAGTAAGTATTCTTTTGGATGCCCTTTCTTGCTTTGACATCCCAAATTCCAATTCCTACTGCTAAAACTGTACTGATTGTTGGTGGGTTCTTAAATGTTTTTTAGGCAGCAGATTACTTGCAGCAGGCTGAGTATGACACTGGTAATCATGAGGAAGACCTGAAAACAGTCTTTGATGAGGCAGCTACTCTACAATCCTAAACTCCAAGCTGCCTGTCCTCTACCATTTGATGAAGCAAAGCTCTGGAAAGGTAATAGTGGACCCCAACTGAAGCAACAGATTCAAAACCAATTCAGAAACATTAGGTTTGTCTCTCAGCATTTGCTTCACTAGTAATTAGTTTATGCTGGATCCTGGATGAAGCATGAGCACCTTGATATGGAAAAAGTACTTATTTCATCCACAAATTGCAGTGCCTTAATGGATTGTGTGGGCTACGAGAAGCGTCGGCTTTGGGGAAAGCTTCAGGTTCTTGGTCTGGGTACTGCATTAAATATCCTCTTTTCTGTTGACGGCCAAAATCATCCAAATCAACCTGTGAGTTCTTGCACCTCTTTTTTAATTTAACTCTCCCTGTATTTTCTTACTGTTCTAGAAACTGGACCAGATTGGTTGTTTTCTAACCACGTTAACCAAAAACTTGCCTGCCGGTTTGGTTTATCCCCATGGCTACTAAGAAATTTGAGGAAAAGAAAAAAAAAGAGAAAACTAAGAAAACAAATCAAAGCAAGACAATAAAATTTTTAAAACTAAGGAACAGCATGTGCATGGATGGATCAATTTCGAAAGTCATGGATACATGTTTTTATCTCATATATTTCTTTGTGCTGCAACGAAATGAAGTGATTGCTTTGATAAATCTGCTAAATCGACTCTCTGAATCTGTCAAATTTGTTCATCAAACTGGACCTTCAATCAAGAACATTGTGCAAGGAGGGTAGATTGTTGATCCTCTTATACAAGCAATCGGCATATGAAAAGCATGGGGGTTACTGTCGACCGGGCTGAGGTATCTCACCATGTATTCAAGACATCCTTTTTGTTATATACACATCCATAGTATCCTGCAGCAGGAGGGTGCAGGCATGGAGACTTATTTGTGAATCATATTTGCAGGTTTGGGAAGCTTATAATTACAAATGTAAGTTGATCCCCCAATCTTCAAATACCAATTTTGGAAGCAGTGCAAAGCATATGTCACACACTGATTCGTTGACCATGTAAGTAAAATGTAAATTGTAAGATCCACGTCATATTGGATCAAGAGATACAAATGCCAAGCTGAAAATTCCAGACATAATAATGTTGTTACAGAGACTGACTTATACATATGAAACATAATAATGTAGACACAACAAAATAGTGCCATTAAATTATTTGAACTTGGCTGTAGGCTTTCTTCTTTTCTCTAGATACATGCTCACTTTGCCTGCTTCCGACATCACTGCTAACATGCCCCAAAAAAATGCCATCACCATCCAAGTAATGGAATACTGAATGAGAGTTGTACTTGTAGGTATGGCTAATTGAAATTTTATGATTGTTCCAATTAACTCAAGAACACGATTTGACAAATTGCTACATCTAGTTTTTCTTAAGAATCCAACATCTCCGGTTATTGCCGCCTCATAGAGGGAAGGATCCATGGATGTGAACTCCCACTCCTACCTTAAATTATCAAACAAGCACAGTCGAGAAGGCACCAATGGAATTGAGGGGCTACAAGTTGTGCTCTAGAGATTAGGGGTGGGCGCGGTCCGGTTCTCACCTCAAACCGGAACTGGTACTATTTATTCGGTCCGATTTAGCCAAAAAAAAATTCAAAAACTGGCCGGTTCGGTTTTGACTAGTTCTAATTTTGAACTGGATTATTAATTTAATATTAATTTAATTTTTTGTCAAAAAATAAAATAAAATTTTTTTTAAAAAATTTATAATAAATAACTTATTTTTTTGGCTTAAAAATTAACAAATAATCCAATTCATACATTTAGAAATTTTTTTATATATGACCGGTTCGGGGTGGTGTGGTGTAAAACCGGGACCAGAATCGGTCTGATTTGTTGACTTTTTTGGTCAACTGGTATTTTTTCACCGGTTTGGTTCGGTGTTTTGGTTTTCCGGTCCCGATGCCCAACCCTACTAGAGATCTCTAATTAAGTACCGTGGTTGTCAAAATCTCTGTTCTTCTCTGTCCCTAAGTCATGTATATGTAGCCAGGAAAGTATCTATAGCTCAAGTACTTCCTTCTCTCTCAAAATGTCTTGCAGTCAACTTGAGTAATGAAAGTGTGTTTCGACCAAAAAAAAAAAAAAAACAAGCACTCAAGGGGACCACACACGCTGTCCCCTATGATTAAAATCTCACACGGTTTGCCATTGCCAACCTCATTTTCCTGCCATTGACATTATCAAAACAAAAGTTTGAATGTCCAGAGGGGGTTTTGTGTAATTTTACATTTCATTTTTCTTTTAATATATAGTTAGTCAATGAAATAGGTTAGTCCTTGCTATAATTAATACATAATGGATCTGTGTGTGAAACGACTTAAGATGAAAAAGTCTTTAAGCTGGTGCTTAATAAATTAGGTTTATTGGTAATTAATATTCACCTATTTTTATCAACAGTCAACTACAATAATATGATTTTCTTGGAACTAGAACCATAAAATGCTTTTTTTTTTTAATAGGTATATTTCATTCCATTATAGAAAGTGGGGAAAATGGGCATGTTACACATGCCGAAGAAGTACAAAACTAGAAATAAATTAGATAGCATGAATGAACAAAACATCATGTAGGAAATCTAGTGGATCAGTAAGCCATTCCGCCACTCCCTAGGAGTACGGAGCATAGCGAGCCAAGCAAGTTGCAACCCCATTAGGGCCTTTCCACCCATGAGCCTAGCCCAAGGCTAGGGGGAAAAAAAAAAAAAATTGTGTTCCAGCGGAGCAGCCGAGGCCCGGGGGGGTGTGGGACCCACCAACTTGGGCTGGCCCGAAGGCAGCTTCAGCCCGAGGTCCAAAACTCGGGCTGCTGACGTCAGCGCTACAGTACCTGCTACAGTTCTGCTACAGTATCGCTACAGTACCGCTACAGTCTGCTACAGTCCCCCACTGATTTGATTTTTTCCCTGTTGCCACGTGGCGTCATCTGGGCTCTCCGATCTGATTTTTTTCCTCCAATCCAACGGCAGCCAATTTTTTTGCAATAAAATACTGGAAAAAATTCGAAATTTTTTTTAAAAAATACCCAAAAATTAATGAATTTTTTTCTATAAATACCAGCCTTTTTTTTTTTTTTTATTTTTTTTGAAATTTGAATTTAAATTTTTATTCGGTTTTTGAAATACCAGCCAATTTTTTTTAATTTATTTGAAATTTGAAATTGAAAATTTTATCCGATTATGAGATATGAATAGTATTGACATGTAGGAACCCTAAAATCTAATCCTAAAATATTATCCAAATTAATTATTGAGGTAAAAAAAATTGTGAATAAAACAAAAAAGTGAATAGTAATTGCCCTTAGCAAGGGCAACGGGTGGAAACACAAAATTCGGATTTTGCAAGGGCAACCACTATTCACGTGAATAGTAGCTGCCCTAGCTCCCCCCCTTGCCATGGCTAAGGGCAAATGGGTGGAGTTGCTCTTAGAACCATCTAATGCTGCTGAGTTAAAAGAAAATGCACCTGACTCTCATCTTGACTTGTGAAAATACTTCGGAAAAACTAAAGAAAAATTACTTTATGATCAGGAAACCAATAAGAAACAGTGTAAAAATACATCGGAAAAACTAATTAGAAAAAGAACAAAAAAGTCTTCACTCTTCTAAGATACGCGGATGCGGTTGAGGCAAGGCCCGGTATTTCTGCCTCAATTTTTGAAGTATAGCCCTTAACACGTGGATGAAAGCAAGTACTATCACCAACGCACCAACTATACCAAGAAAAGTATCGAATAGACCTGTATGGTTAAAGGGTTCTTTAAACGAAATTCTTAACGCGCTTTTGGGCGCCACTGCAGCCCCGGCCGAAATAAATGCTACCAGCAACCCTCCAATGGAATACTGAATGAGACTTGCAGGTGTGGCTATTTCGATGGACCGGAAACGTATTGGAGTTGATTCGTTATAAGTCGCAAGAATTGCGAGCATGAAGGATAACTGGTTGAAGCTGAAAAACTTTGAAAAACGAATTTTCCGACAAAACCGGCTAGCCGTTGGTTTTAAATCCTCCAGGAGGGGTTAATGAGGCCTGATTTGAAGTGTTGTCACCACTAGTTTGGTATAAAGTCTTTTCAAGGCCTGATTTGAAGTGGCTTGCGGGTTTTGCCTTTTGGTGTGTTCAATGGCGGGTGTGCCGGGCGTATCCTTCTGTGAAGGATCCAATTTGTTGAAATCATTGCTGATTTTTTGTTGGAAAAATGGACCACCCACAGAAGACCCCAAGTGTTGCAAAAACGGACTGTTAATAATTTCCTGAACATAGAGGGAGAGAGTACTGTATTTAGTACACAGAAGATGTCATGCCATCTCCTATCCATCAAAAACACGCATTTAGAGAGCAAGCTTCATCTATCATCTCTGAAACCTCTGCAATTTCGAGCCTCATTCCTCAATCTCCTCCCATCTTCTATTCTGATAAATCGTTCCAGAGCTTGACAGAGCTTTCTGTTAGATAAGGATAGAACTATGGTGTAGATTTTTGTCTGCATTATTGAGGTACGGTTGTACACTTTTCCCTTAACCGGATTTTCCTCCATTGGTGGGTTTTGATGGCAAGGTTTCAATGAGGCCACATTAGTGCCCTCCGTTCGTCTGTAAACTTTTATCGTTTGTTTGGTGATAGTGATGAATGAGATTTTCCTATCTGATTATAAAAAATAAAAATAAAAATAAAAAGTTGTTTGGGCTCATTAGTGTATGAGTTCGCTTAATAATGTATGCTTTTGTTGGGACATTGTGAATGCTCTAAACAAATATGAAACAAAAACAAAAAAACACCATAAGTTATGCTGAGGAAACCAATAACAATCCCATCTTCTGCTAAAATATGATATTAGGTTTGAATATTTGGGTTGAATTTTATTCTTCTCCATAAGGAGGTATATATAGAAGCTTATATCAGGGTCTTACAAGGAATTAGATACAGTAAAGAATTAGGAAAATATCTTCTAATTAAACAATGATTTATCAACTTTATAAAAATTGGAAAGTAAATCCCTTAATTAATCAAGGAAGTAAATCTCCTTGATTAATTAGGAGACTCACGTCAACATCTTCCTTTTCATTCTCACTTCCATTCTCTTTTTTTATCCTCTATACTCTAGCACAAAAAATGAAAACTAAAAACTAAAATTGAAATGGTTATCAAACGGGCCAAAAGCTTTTCAAATTGCCACGTAGGTCAACAAACTTCAATTAAGAGTTCGATTTACTATTACTGTTGGAGATGCTCTTAGTAAATGAAATATTGACAAGATCATTATTTTTCTTTTCACATTTCATTCTTTTTCTTTATATATAGTTAGTTAATGAAATGTTGACAAGATCATTAATATCGTTAGTCCTTGCCTATGCATTCCATTAATATCGTTAGTCAACTACAAGCAAGGGCTTAAGTAGTTTAGGAGAATTTATCTATGCACATGAGGTCCTAATCTATTCTTCCTCATTCAATATCATTTGTATTAAAAAATGCCTACAATAATATATGATTTTTTTTGGATCCTTGTACTAATTAAATACAAATACGAAAGATTAGGTGCCAAATAAATAAAAACCTAGAACCAATTATACTGAATTATGAATAAAAACCTAAAGCAATGTAAAACAAAAAGAAAGCACAACAAATAAAAGTTGACATAACTTATGATCAGGAAACCAATAAGAAACACTTATTAAAACTAATTAGGAAAACTAAAACTAAAAAACTAAAAAGACTTATCATGAACTTCTAAGGGCCTGTTTGGGAGAGAAGCATCTCTTACATGTTTCATTATATAATCATTTTAAATGATTTTAAGTAATTTTCAAAATAAACATCTCACATGTGTTTCACCATAAATCACTTAAAATCACTTAGAGTAAGGACTTGGCTATGTGTTTCTCCCTCAATTTTCGACGCACAGTCGTAAACACAGGGATCAAAGCAAATAGCAGCAGCAACGTACCAATTACACTGAGAACAATATCAGACGGACTTGCACTTGCGAAGGGTTTTTCACCTGAATCTATTCTTTGGTGTTTGGGCTGCACTGTAACCGTGGCGAAAATAAATGCTAGCAGCAACCCTCCAATGGAAAACTGAATCAGACTTGCAGGTGTGGCTATTTGGAAACTTATTGCAGCTGATTCGATGTAGATCACA